TTTCTACACAAAGAACACTATGTGCATACAAATGAATATATGAAGAATATTGTGTGTTTGACAGCCAAGCAATAGAGAAAAAAGCTGTTCCTTCTAAACATCACTTGTGCATTTGCTGCATGGGGTCCCAGCTTCCTTAGCAGCTTTTTTTTTTTTTTTTTGCTCACAAAGTTTTTCCTACAGTCCTCTTCCAGCAACAGAGACATCAGGAGCTCCTGAAATATGGCAACCAAGAGGTTGTTAAGATGATTCCTAAAGATGTCTCTCCCCTCTCCCCTGATGTTACCTTGCCCACTTTCTTTTTTGCAGCCTCCAATGTTAAGCATAGCCCTTGGCTACTGAAAGGTTACCCATCTCTATTCTAGTAGGTGAATCAAGCAGCATCAGCATATTTTCAAATAGTTTTGGGCATTTCCCACAATGTGCCAAAGCTTGTTGGGACATGACGGGAAATATAAATGGTAGGGTCATGACACAGACTGGAGGAGCTACAGATTTTGTTTTTAACTTTATTTCTTATATATTTATTTTACATTATGGTTGGCCACCTAGTCAACCAGATTTTTATGCTAGATTTGGCATTTTTATCCATCTATCAGGTTCTTCCCAAGGATCTGGGATAGGCAGATGTTGTTGTCTGATGGTATCAAAGGTGTTGTCACATGATGTAAACTGTTCCAAGTTAACTGCCTTTTGTAATTGACTGATGGTGATTTAGGCGGTGCTCCAGGCACCTTTTTTGTGCAGTTATAACTTTGAACATTTGCTGAACAAATAGTTGTAAGTCAAGGACTATCTGTACATGCATATACACACATGCATTTCTTTCAGTTCCAGGTGGTGAACATACCTAATACTCTTGCCCCCTATTTTCTGCACAACAACTCTATGAAGTGAGTTGGACTGAGAGTAACTAGCCCAAAGTCACCCAGTCAGCTTTCATGCCTAAAGGAGATCTAGGACTCACTATCTTTTGATTTCTAAGCCAGCTCTTTAATCACCACACCAAACAGGCTGCAATAAAAGAGTGATTCACAGCAGCATTGGAAGGGGGCCAGTAATCTCAGACAAGGCCCATGTGAAGGTGATGTTGGTCTTGGTAAATAATGAATGCATACAGACTCTAAATCAATCTTCCCCTAGATAGCATTGGCAGTTATGATGTAATGTAACTTGTAGCCCAAGGCATTATATGGTCACTAGGTTGGGATGTACAGCTCAGTGTTATATGTTAATTAGTACTTTTAAGAAAGAGGAAATTATTTTGGAAAATAGAAATTTTATCCAAATGCATTTTCCATGCTACAAAAATACTTTTTAAACAAAACATCTCCCAACCTTGTTTTATATGGTATCTCCCTCTGTTTACAGACTATTGCAGAATGAAGGAGAGAGGGAGAAAAAAACCTCTTGGCCTATTATCAGTTCTTGAGATTCCACACTACTTCTCCTTTTCCCTCTAATCTCTAAAACAATATTGATAACTGTAAAGTTACCTAATAGATGGACGCTGAGCTGTAGTTTTATTATCAACATCACAGTCTACACCAGGGGTCTCCAATCTTGGCAACTTTAAGACTTGTGGACTTCACCTCCCAGAATTCTGAGGAATTCTAGGAGTTGAAGTCCACAAGTCTTAAAGTTGCCAAGGTTGAGGACCCCTGGTCTAAACACCATGCTGGGGAATTCTGGGACTTTAAGTCTACATATGGAGAAGCACTGGACTAAAGTCATTCTTTCTCAGCAAACACACAAGGAAAGTAAAGAAGAATTCAGTATTTCAAGAAAGATTTATCTGAAATATGGGACAATAAGGGAAAAAGAAGACCAACCTATCAAAAATAGTGCCATAAAAAACAGAACAGAAACACAAGTTAAGATAGACAAGAAAATGATAAGTGAGCACCTGTCCAGCCTAGACGAGTTCAAATCTCCAGGACCAGATGGATTACACCCCAAGGTTCTCAAGGAACTGGCAGATGTGATCTCAGAACCACTGAACTATATTTTTCAAAGATCCTGGAGCACTGGGGAACTACCAGAGGACTGGAAAAGAGCTGATGTAGTTCCATCTTCAAAAAAGGGAAAAAAAAGGACCCAGGAAATTACAGACCTATCAGCCTGACCTCAATACCTGGGAAGATTCTGGAAAAGATAATCAAACAATGAATCAGCGAACACCTAGAGGCAAACAAAGTCATTACTATAAAAGCCAACATGGGTTTGTCAAAAACAGATCATGCCAGACAAATCTTATTGCATTCTTTGACCAAGTGACAAAATTAGTGGATCAGAGGAATACTGTGGATATAATTTACTTGGACTTCAGTAAGGCATTTGATAAAGTAGATCATGACCTACTACTCGATAAGATAGAAAAATGCGGGTTAGACAGCATCACCACCAGATGGATTCGTAGCTGGCTGACTGGCCGCACTCAGCATGTGGTCCTCAATGGAACCACATCTACATGGAGGGAAGTGTGTAGTGGGGTGCCCCAGGCTCTGTTCTAGGCCCAGTGCTCTTCAACATCTTCATCAATGATTTGGATGAGGGGATAGATGGGGAACTCATCAAATTTGCAGACAATACCAAGCTGGCAGGAATAGCCAACACTCCAGAAGACAGGCTTAAGATACAGGAGGATCTGGACAGACTTGAACATTGGGCGCTAGCTGACAAAATGAAATTCAATGGTGAAAAAAGTAAGGTTCTACATTTAGGCAAGAAAAACCAAATGTATAGGTATAGTATAGGGGGTACCTTGCTCAATAGTAGTAACTGTGAGAGAGCTTTCAGAGTCCTAGTGGACAATCATTTAAATATGAGCCAGCAGTGTGCTGCAGCTGCCAAAAAAGTCAACACAGTGCTAGGCTGCATTAACAGAGGGATAGAATCAAGATCATGCAAAGTATTAATACCACTCTACAATGCCTTGGTAAGGCCACACGTGGAATACTGCATCCAGTTTTGGTCACCATGATGTAAAAAAGATGTTGAGACTCTAGAAAGAGTACAGAGAAGAGCAACCAAGATGATTAGGGTACTGGAGGTTAAAACATATAAGGAAAGGTTGATGGAATTGGGTATGTCTATTTTAATGAAGAGAAGAACGAGGGGGGACATGATAGCAGTGTTCCAATATCTCAGGGGCTGCCACAGAGAAGAGGGAGTCAAGCTACCGTATATGCCGGCGTACAAGGCGACCCGGCGTATAAGACGACCCCTGTATTTGGCGCCTAGTCGCATTCCTAGAACATCGTCTTATACGCAGGAAACTACCAGTATTTCTGGCGTATAAGACGACTTGGCGTATAAGACGACCCCCGTCTTTGGCGCCGATTTTAACGCTTGCGGAAGTCGCCTTATATGCCGGCATATACAGTATTTTCCAAAGTGCCTGAAGGCAGGACAAGAAGCAATGGATGGAAACTAATGAAGCAGAGAAGCAACCTAGAACTAAGGAGAAACTTTCTGACAGTTAGAACAATTAACCAGTGGAACAACCTGCCTCCAGAAGCGGTGAATGCTCCAACACTGAAAGTTTTTAAGAAGAAACTGGATAACCATTTGTCCGAAATGATATAGGGTTACCTGCCTGAGCAGGGGGTTGGACTTGATGACCTCCAAGGTCCCTTCCAACTTTATTATTATTATTATTATTATTATTATTATTATTATTATTATTACTACTACTACTACTACTACTATTATTATTATTATTATTATTATTATTATTATTATTATGGGTTTGTACATATCTAATCAAATCAATGCTAACTGAAGTCAACTTTCTCAACCCCGGTCAAATCTTCTTATTCTTAGTTTATCATTCAGTGCTCAGGCAAGTGAGGGGGAAATTGTATTATATCCTGCTTTTCTTTTCCTGTAGAAACATCTCAAACATAACGCAAACCCAGCAAACAAACAAAAGCTCACAAAAGAAGCACGTAAGAACAACAACAGAGGAATATGAATGATAAAAATAGAACCATGAAAATGCAAATAGCAAAACTTCTGTTGCAATTCCTGCTTTCTGGAATAATGTCTCCTCATGCCCCAATGTTCTTCAGGAAATTGTTGAAGCAATTGTTCTCCCAGGCCTTGGGGACAGATGGGTCATGGAGAACATTTTTGGTTTTGTTTTGCTTTCTTTTTGGACTTTTCTCTCAGGTCACTTGCATTTTTCTTCAAATTGGTTTTTCATTGTAAGAAAAACAGAGTAGTTCTGGAATTGGGTGGCCTTGGGTGTGTGATCTATTGCAGTTTGGTAACTAATACATTTAAATAAACAAATAAAAACAATAACCTAATTACCTAGATCTCATTCCTCCTACCTATTCTTGTCATCCATGATATGTGCAACTATACAGATAAAATACTATATTTTACAGAATTCAACAATCCACCTTGTTTTTCCTTTTGAATAATATCTCATTTTACAGGTTACGACATTCTTTTGGTGACCGTTCGAAGTTACAATGGCACTGAAAAATGTGACTTATGACCGCATTTCACACTTAGGACTGTTGCAGCATCCCCATGGTCACATGATCAAAATTCAGATGCTTGGCAACTGACTTGTATTTATGTCTGTTGCAGTGTACCATGGTCATGTGATCACCTTTTGTGACCTTCCCTTTTGTGGGAAGCCAGATTCATTAACAACCGAATTACTAATTAAACAACAGCAGTGATTCACTTAACAATGATGGCAAGAAAGGTCGTAAAATGGGGGCAAAATTCATTTAACAGCTGTCTCACTTAGCAACAGAAAATATTGGATTAATTATGGCAGTAGATCGAGGACTACCTGTACTCAAAAGATCTAGAAGAAATACAAACACATTCTGTATGGCAATGCTTAGGCTTATAGTATGGCTATACTTCAGAAATTCCAATCAAGTCCCTTAAGGGGGAAGATTTCTCTAGGGCGGGGAAAGACATTATCACCATGGAACTTGGAACTATGTCAGCCACTATTTTTTCTTCTTTTTTAGCTGGAGAACATTGTGAGATCTGCCAAAATGAATTCTGCCAACAAGAAATTCCATTATGTACTTCTAATCAACAACTGAGGCAACCACACCTTGTAAATGTCTGTTCTTTATAGGTATATTTCTCTGAGTGTTTCCTGATTAGTATATGCTTTTTCTTTTCAACTTTGTGTAGATAGCTCATTACGTAAGGAGAGATCCTTCAAGATATAAAAGAATGCTACATGCTTAAGTACATACCCAAGTGCCCCTCTAAGATAATTTTATAAACAAAATTAACAGACGGTCTGGGAAATGTTACACGGAACAAAGCAGTTAAAATCTCAGGTGATCTCAGGCTTCTATAGAAAGACAATTAGGAATTGTATCTGGCTAATTTACAAACAATATTATCCTCCACTCCACTTAGTACAAGAGAGGGTGGGAGGTAAGTTGCATTTTCTACATCCTGCCTAGCCACCTATTTATTTATTTAGAACATTTATATACCCTGAATCAACAGACCCTTAGGAGTCTCATAGAAAATTAAATCTAAAAAACAGTGGGCACAAGAATAAATTTACCCAGGCTTTAATTAACTGTCATTAAAAGATTATTACAACTATTCTGCAACACAGAAACCTTAAGTCCAAAATACTTGACGAAAAAAGTGTTAAAAGTTCAGTCATTTCAAAATTAACCAGGGGGTGCTTTTTAATTGTGCAGGATCTCCTATGTTTTGCATGCAGTTTTAGGCAGGAGTTTGTCCTCTGAGCCCTATAGTTCTGTACAATTTCTAATTTGCCTGCAGTGTTCTGGTACATGTCTAAGTTTCATCTTCAAAAAAGCTAACCTAAATCATAGCTGCTCTTTGAGATGAGGGGCAATCTGGCTCTGAACAGGCTCTGAACATGAGGATGCTTGGCTTGAGATCCTTACGATGGTACTTTTCTGGAAAACAGCAGAAGAGCAAGAAAGCTTCTGGTGCCATCCAACAGAACTCTGTTTATGCTTTTCTGAAAAGAAAAAGACAAAAAAATAATAAAGACAGAAATAAAGTTTCTTCCTCTAACATTGACCATCTAATTGTCAGGTTCGGATGAAATCCTTTGATAGGAGAACAAGGAGAGGGTCAAAAGATTTATTGTTTCTTAAGATACAAAACTTCCCTTTACATAGAAATCTGTCAGCAAGAAGTATTGTAGCTTTAACTTTCTCCATGCACAACAGGTCGTCTCCACTTAATGACTGCCCCATTTAGTAACAGCACTGAAAAAGTAACTTTATGACTGGTCCTCATGTTTTCAACCATTGCGGTCCCTGTGATCACAAGGTCACTAGTTGTGTGCTTTACAACTGGCTTGGGATAAACCGAGTCATTGCAGAAGCTGGCAGTAAAATGGTCACCTGATGACTCACTTAACCATGGCAGCAGAAGTGAGGTTGTAAGTCTGTCATGGTCATGTAATGTTTTGCTTAATGACCACATCACTTAGCAATGAAACTGCCAGTCCCAATCGCAGTCATTAAATGAGGACTACCTTGTACTGCATCTATAAGTAAGTTTTTAAATGACAGAAAAATTGAAACCTTTATAATGAAATTATCAATCTCATAATCACTTTATCACCTTATTCTTTTGAACTCTAGTAGCCCTTGGACTTAGAGCTACCAGATATCAGAACAGGTAAAGGACAATTAGAAAGGAGGACAAATAGTGTGGACTGGAAGGAGGGGACATTAATTGTTTAACTTTCTTAAAATCTGCAACAAAAACTCCAGGGAAAACCAGAAGAAAGGAGAAGGAGAATGTACTGACGTCTATATAAATGTAAAATTACTTTTCCCAGCATCAGAAAGACTGTTTTTTTCAATTGCAGGAATGTGCTAGAGCCAGTTAGGAGGCAAAAGCCTTCAGTGTGTAACTGAGTAAGGCTTTGTCAGGAGGGCTCTAATCAACTAATTAAGGTCACAGAATGGAGCTTGTTAATTTTCAGTTAGCACATTAGGAGAGCACTGCACCATGGAGAAAAGCTGCATAGTAAGAGATACTTGAAAAGACTGACAATGTTTGATTTTAAGACTATGCCTGCTGGACAGAGGACATGAAGACAAAAAGGAGGACATGTCCTCCTTTTGCCAAATGTCTGGTAAATTTATAATGTATAATTACTTTGTTATGTTCCCGAATACAGCAAACAGAAGGTAGTATGATTTTAAAAAATGCTTTAGCCAAAGTAGTTTAATTTCCACATATCAGCATGTTCAGGTGCCCTCAAACTGTCAACCAATTAGCTTACCTAGTAATGTCCACAGCATCTTTTTCTTGGTGCTTCCAAGATTCCTTATCCTGCTAGACATTATTTTTTAAGGTTCCTTAATCAAGTGATTAAATAAGAAGCAGGTGTTCCACAAAGCCAAGCTTCTAGTATCACCCTGATTTATGGAAATGACTCTGGGCCCCACAGGCATTCTTTCAAAAGAAGCATACCAAGTCTTTCTTTAGAAATCTAGTATGTCATCCTATCTCCCCAAGGGAGGATTAGAGAGCATTTAATACTACATCTTCTTCATCATCCACTTGGAAAACTAGAAAGTGTAGCTGGAAGTAACTTCATCAGTTTTTCTCATGAATAAATTTCAGAAGTGAAGACATTCTGTGAATGGGCATCTCCTACCTAAGATTTTGTGAAACACCCTCAACACGCTCTAAATTTCATACTTTTCATATCTGGCGATATCCTAAAATATTGCCTGTCACTTCCTTGACTGATTGCTTGATATTCAAGCAGGTAAACCCTACTGTAGCTGCTGAATCTTTTGAGTCTGGTTGCTATCTGCCTGGATTTCGTGAAGAGAACTCCAGCTGTTTTCATACTTCCCTAAAAAAATCAGCACAAGGCTTGACAGGTCTCTTTAACCACTATTTCGGAGAATAAATGAAGGAGAATGAGAGAAACATTTCCTCCTTCTGCATGAACAACCATTTTTATTAGCAGAGCTGGTTGATTCATTCCCCTAGATTAAACAGATCTTCCTAATGTAAGGACAAAAGGGCCATTGTAACCATGGAGACAGATATCCTTCGGTCAAGACTTGACATCAGCACTATTGTAGTTTTTTATTTCTTTATCCTGCCTTTATTATATTTAAAAATAACTCCAAGAAGCAAACATATCTAATACTCCTTTCTCCTTCTCTTTTCCCCACAACAACAACCCTGTGAGGTTTTGATGCAATGAGTGGCCTAATTTTTCATTAAGGAGAAGTTTTAGAGATTTCTTGTTCATTTGCTCTTAGAGTGGGTTATAAATATCTAAAAGGACAAAAGAATATTTGTTCTTCTAGGAATCACAACAGCATAACTAAAAAGATCTGGAAACATGTTCATGCATGGAGAAAAGATTCTGGAAAACCATCAGGGAGAACAAAGTTTTGACAGGCTACATTTCTATGTGTGTATTTATAGATAATTAAATTGTGCCAACTCTTACTTGCATTTTAAATGTTACAACTTCAGTCTGTGGCTGGGTTTGCCCAAGTCACTAGATTAAGTTAAAATGGTTGACTACTTTGCTGTTCAACATGTGGTAACTAGGCCATTGTCTTAAACAACAATAAGCTTTATTTCTTTTGGCAGAGCTTGTGAAGTGAAAGTAGCAGTTCTATTTTTTTCCTTCTGTTCAATCATGTTCAGTTCTCAGAGACTGTCTGGGCAAGTCCCTGAAGTTTTCCTGGCAAGGTCTTTCAAAAGTGGTTTGCCATTGCCTCCTTCCTAGGGCTGAAAGAAAATGATTGACTCAACCCAGCTGGCTTTGTGTCTAAAGTGGGACTAGAATTCACAGACTCTAGTCTGATGCCTTAACCACTAAACCCAACTGTCTCTCTCTGTTTTGTTAATTCAGATTTAAAAGTTGTGTAAACCTAGCTAGCTCTGACTACCAGATCTCTACCTACAGTATATGCTTTTCTATTCTTAGAAGAAATGGAACTTAGTTTTACAAAAAAATTGTTCAGGATTGCATGAATCTCAGTGACTAAGAGATGAACTCTAAAGGTGGAGCAAAGGTTACATCAAGCCCTGCATCTGTTTCTAGGTGATAGTATTGTCTGATATTTTAAAATAAATAAATCCATATGCTAAATCACCTTTGTCTTATCTCTTAGCTAAATTACCTGACACAGAATAATACTATGGAGAACATTAAGTATGCTGCTGTGAGCTTCTCAGGAGGGAACATAACCTATAAATGCAACAAGAAAGGAAAAGATAGAACAGATCCTCATGACTTAGGGTTTTTTCCCACTTTTAAGATGAGGTCATCCTTGGGTTGGCAGAAAAATAAATGAGCAATGAAATTTATTATATTTTTCCTGCATCTATCTCAAGCATGGCCTAGAGAGGAGATGAAGACTTAACAGGGACTCTGCAGAAAAAAAGATGTGTGTCCCATGCTTAGGGGAAAATGGAAAAACACCATAAGCTAGCCCAGTGGTGAAGAACCTATGGCATGGGTGCCAGAGGCGGCACTCAGAGCCCTCTCTGTGGGCATGCGCACCGTCACCCCAGTCCTAGGCCTTCAGCTGGGTTTATAAAACCTTTTTGCTTTAGGCCTCTGCTGCCGTGTGCAAAAAGAAAAAAGGTTCAATCAGTCAATTTCAACTTCTTACGGGAAAAAAAAAAGATCTTGCAAAGTTGAAATTGGTTGATTGAACTTTGTAGTCCCACCCAGTTTGCTGTTACCACCGCAGCCACGCCCAGCCAATGGGCCACACCCAGCCAATGGGCCACGCCCAGCCAATGGGCCACACCCAGCCATTGGGCCACACCCGCCTGGCACTCGACGATGCATAAGTGGGTTTTGGGTTACAGTTTGGGCACTCAGTCTCTAAAAGGTTCGCCATCACTGAACTAGCCTTTTATCTTGGAAAAGATAATTGAACTGAATTTGCATCCGTTTATGGAATTTATAGGTGTAAATTTCTCTAGCCAATTTCTAGTAATCCAGATTACTAGATTTGGGGTGCAAAACTTTGGATAACCATTAGATGATAGACAATAGAGTTTTCTGTATCTCTTTATTGACATGTAGTGGTCTTTTGCAGACAGACCAGATAGCCCATGCTTCCTTCATAGACAATGGGTGGCAATACCTAAGAGATTTTATACATTTTGCAGTTGCTCTTGGCTGGTACCAGAATGAAAGGGAAAATGCTAAAACCACTTTAGCTTAGGAAAACTTATAGTTATCTCAATCATGGTCTGGAGATGAGATGAAGATTTCATGGGAACTTTGCAGAAAAAAGATGTTGCTGGGACATGTGTGTCCCATGCTTAGGGGAAGTGGGGAAACATCTTTTCAGGTTAAAATATGTCCAGACACTGATACATGCATTATTTGTATGATGCCTAATTTGACCCTCCATAAAGAAAGCTTCTGAAGTGAAGTATCTTTTCCATCCTTACTACCTCACTCTTTTCTTCTCATATTGCAAAGAATAATGGTGAAAAGTTCAGAACATGTTAAGCACAATATAATAATCAGAGTTTATTAATTGTGTAACACCCCCCCCCCATTGCATTTCTTCTTTATGTCTGACTTCATCCTTAATAATCCACTTTATGGCCCGAAGCATAGTTCTTGACAGGTCTCATTGCAGCAAAATGTTTCTCTGCAAAGCTATAAGCTTGTTTGCTCTTGCCCCAGAACATTACCAGATAGCTGTGCAACATCTCTTAGCTAGATGTTTTTTTAGGCTGAAATATTAAACTTCCATTTCTTCTCAAGTCAAGCCATTAGAAGGAAGTTCTGATTGCATGTTTGTTCTTTTTTTAATAGTTCCTGGCTGAATCAAACAATATGTCTTTGTTTTTCTGCTTAGATGGTTGGATGAAAGGAGCGTCTTGAATTGGGAGGGGGAAAAACTGCTGGGTGCCCAGGAAGTTCTGAGGAGCAAATCTTTATTTGAACAGTCCTGCCTGCATCTGGGATTCTACTGCAAAACTTTCAGTGGATGTTTCTGATTATCCAGCATAAAGGATGGCATCCATGCCAAAAATCCAGATAGAAGAAATGCTGGATAGTGTGGATGATAAGGCTGAAGGTGGTCCTCCATTTGATGATCATCTGCGGAATCTGAAAGCCTTGACAGAGAAACTGAGGCTGGAGACAAGGAGGCCTTCGTATTTGGAGTGGAAAGCTCAGCTGGAAGGACTGGCTTGGAAGAGCTACCCCAAACTTCCTGAGGAGGACATGGGGAGGCAAGAGAAAAAACCAACAGAGGAAAATGTTTCTTTGAGAGAAGTGCAGGTTCATATCAATGGAAGCTCTTCCAGACAGCCAATTTTGCTTGTCCCGGAGAAAGTGTGTGGCTTTGGAAACATTGATGAAGCATTAAATTGGCTCAGGAAAGAGTTGGTAAGTAATTTCCTACTTTTTTTTTAAAAAAATTATTGCCAGAACCTCTAGGCATATTGTAGGATTACAGCTGAAAAGACAAAAGTGAGACCTATTCCTGGCAATAATAATTTAAAAAAAAATCTTTCTTTTCCTCTTTCTCCTAGTTCTGCTTCTCTTTCCAATTCCTTCCCCAAAGCACAAGGCTGCTTGCTATATGCTTTTACAAGGTTTCTGAAAGATTAATAGATCCTGACTTCAACAAGACATATCAGTAGTAGAATCATAATTGTGAGGCAGACATGGCAGCATTAATGTAGCTGCCCTGTAGACTTGATTGACTTTCAGACAGTTTGAACAAGGGATATATTTTAATGGACCATTGTGGCTTACAGATGTTATGCAGCTTGGTATTCACATTCAAAAAGCAAGAGTAGGATACACACATGCATATGCCTTGCTTAGATTCTGTTTTTAAAAAATGGGGAAATGGGGAAAGATATAATTTAAACTCATTTGAAACAGTAAAAGAGAAACTTAATTTTGTTAAGGCATATTTCATTATCTGAGCATTGCTTTTAATCACTTAGTGAGCAATATAGCGGCAAGGTTAGGCATGTGATGCTTCAAATAGATGAATTAATAGATTGCATCCCATCATAAACTTCTCTACCTTACATGGGAAGGAGAAATCTGTTCATATGACTAAAATAAAATCACCAAATTCCAAGGGGGAACAGCTGTTTCTACCTGATCAAAAATATCTTCCACATCTTCAGAAGTATTATTTCTCCAGGTCCTATAGATGATAATACCTACCATAATATACAGGACCATTTCATTATCAGATTGGAAGTAGAGATTGTGATTAAAATGCTACCTTCCCTAGTTGTAATGGAAATGTTTATTGGGCCATGAGCTCAACTGGGGAGGGGGAGAGGAAGAATAAGCAAAATAGTTTTGAATTTCTACATATAGCCTATACAATTGTTCCACATAGCTAGATGAGAGATGATTCTGTAAAGCTAAAAGGAAGCACCGAGTCTGAGATTACAAAATCCCTAATCCTGGAATCAATGAGATAGAAAAAAACCAGGGCCGCATCTGAGACTTATTTTTTAAAAATAGTTTCAAAGGCCTTTTTCTTTTCTTTTTTTAAAAGTAGTGATTCCAATAAAGAAGAATATTTGTAGCTCAGGGTTGAAATGAGGGGTCCTTGGTGCTCTCTGAGCGAAGTTGTTTTCTTGTAGACATTTCATTACCCAAACTATGATGATGTTACCTAGTTTGGGTAATGAAACATCTGCAACAACCAAGCTCAGACAGCACCAAGGACTCCTCAAAGTAGTGATTACTATCCAGATGGAGTGAAAAATTATAATAGATCCTTGTCAAATTACATAGACCCTAGTGAAATGAGAGAGAGAGAGAAAAAGAGAAAAGGAAGGAAAGACATGGGTTTTTTTCCTTCAAACTTGAAGCCTCTCATCTAAATCAATGCAATTCAAACTACAGAAAGGAATTCTTACAGTATATAAAGTGCCATGTAATCCTACATGCTTCCAGCAGTCTCATGGTGAGCAAGGGCTTATTCCTTACCAAGGGTATTTAACATTACACTATTGTCTCAAAATGGGGGTATGGTCATCAGGTAGATAGCTTTAAAAGCTGGCTGGGGAAGAATTAATGGAAGGAAGTTAATTCCTTTAAGTCATTGGAGTGAAGTAGAATTTAGAGTTCAAAAGATGTGCATTTTTGAATACCAGATGTTGCAGGGAAAACCTAGGAAAAGGATTTATATCCTAGGGTTTTTTTTTTCCTGATGGTCCTCCTAAAAACATTTGAGAATGTAATGTTATGCTGCTGAATTGGAACTGGAGAGACCGAAGTTCAGATTTATCCACAATTATGAAAGTTCACTGGGTTCATTGGGTGACTTAAGGTCGGGAACTCTCTTAGTATAAAATTGCCCTAAAGAGTTGTGTGAAAAAGTTGGAGGAACATTATGTGCAATATGTGAAGCTCTTGGATGACAGGCAAGCTATCAATCTAGCAAATTTATGAATAAAATTAACTATATTAGCCAATCATTGTTTCAGTTTAGCAATAAATTCTTCTTATTTAAACATGTTACAGTAAGTGTGTGTTAAGGAAAAAAACATGATAAGCATGATAAAGAAAAAAACAACACAAAACTTCACTGAAGCTCATTCTCCATTTTATTTTCATGCAGTTTGATTGGTAGTGTTTCTGGAAGGAGGAAAGCTTCCTCTATTCAATAGAATTTTTATTGGGGGAAGGGAGTATCCAGACATCATAATTTTCAACATGAAATCTTCCCATGCATTTTCATCATTGTTTCCATGCTTTTCTTACTAAAGAAAGATGGAACAGCTTATACAATAGCTTTTGATTGAATGAATGCCAGGAACTATCTGTCAGAAGCACTCCAAGTCATGCAAGCAGAGGATAAGTTGACCTGGGAAAAAGGGTGACAAGGAAAAAGAACGTAGAAGAAACACAGGGATGCATTCATTCTTCTTCTTCTTACATCCTCTTCATTTAAGGAACCTTTCTTAGAAACCCAGAAAGAGATCAGAGAAGATTTTATGCTTTAGCCAACTTCAGAGATCAACAATGTATGTATCCCTGTGAAATTGGAACCATTACTTTTCTATTCCTGGATATTTTTATATTCCCAAAGAATATTTTATTATGCAAGAAGCTTGCTAGTTATCCAAGCTACCAGAAACTAATCATAAGTACTGAATATGGGATGAGATCCAACCATGCCATCTTTCTCCTCATTGTCCGTGTAATTCTTCTGTCAACCATCTCAAGCTTTCTCTTGTGCCCTTTATCAGCAAAATACCAGCCTCTTCCCTCCCACTTTCAACCTCTCCATTTTTATTTTACTAGAGTACAAAAAAGTCTTCTCACTCTGAAAGCAGAAAATTCTTGAAGGCAAGAAGCTTTATCTCTCTGGGAAAAGTTTGATTCTCTTGGACTACAGCTGGTGAAAAGCTGATCCTTATAAGAAAAAAGGAGAGGAAGGGGAATCAGTACAGTAAAAAAAAAAAAAAAAAATCTAAGAAGCAAAACCACTTGTAAAGCCACAAAGACATAGAAATGGCCTGATAATATGGATTAACTTTGATCTAATCTGACATTCTGCTTTTACTAGCAACCTCTTAGAAAGAAAAAAAGGATAACTACCAAGCATGTTTAGCATTTCAAGAAAGACTGCCTTTGAAATGTGATCCTATGTAATCATATTTATTATTTGTTAAATCTCCAACCCAGTCACCAGACTCTTTAGCAGCTGTCTAAAACTAAAAGTGATTCTTTTCAAGGAAGATTGTCACAAAGTTCTCCATAGCAAGATTTATTAAGATGAATAGCTTCAAGTCAAAGTACTCCAGCAACTGAAAGATTTTCAGTTTAGAATCAATATATATCCATGTATGCTAATAGGGAGAGTTTCTAATTTTTTTCCCAATAGTCTGCTTGAATCTGCTGTGTAATCAGGTCCCTTCACTGACAATAGGGAAGATTGCAACTGCCTATTTATAAAACAACTCCCAGAATATTTATCAATCTGACAATCAACTCTCATATTGGTTTTATAGCAAATGATGCTTGGAAAATACAAAACTAAACTGGGAGAAAATGAATTAGAAATATTTTTCAAAAGTAAGGCTGGCAGATATCATCAACAAAGCCAATAAAGCTGATCAAATGATATGAATAAATCAATTTTCCTTCAGATGAACAGGAGCTACAACTCTGCAGACTCTCAGCTAATATATTAGTTCTGACAATCTTATTTCCATCATATGTGGAGGTTAACAGTTAGGAAAACACTAGATGAATCATCTACAATTGCCATAATCCACCACTTTCTCAGGCAAAGATCTTTCTGAATGACTTGCTGCCATTTTGTGACTGGCAGAGGTTGATAGATTTTCTTTCTGTGAAGAGACGATTGAATATTGCTGACTACACAGAATCTCCTTGTGCAAACAAAATAGTCACCTTCTATTATGAACTGCAATAAGTGTAATCTGTATTTTATTTATTGGTCAGTTTGAAATATTATCCATCTCACCCTCAGAGTAACCGGACAATATATAGTAAACTTATATTTTTTACCAAGAAAGAGGCACCCATTGTTTGATTAAAAAAAAACCAAATTATTTAAAATCAATCTTACAATTTCAGGGTACAAATGACGTTTCCCTGTCTTGAGAATCTCTCTAAATTTTTCTGCAATGGATTTTTTCATTAATAGAAGAAAATTTATTTATTTGTTTGTTTGTTTGTTTATTTGACCTTTATCCTACCTTTATTTTTTTTATATGTAACACAAGGTGGCAAATATACATAATACTCCTTCCTTCTCTTTCTGTTTTCTCCACAACAATCCTGTGAGGTGGGTTCGGGTATGAGAGAGTAACTGGTCCAAACTCACCCAGCCGGTTTTCATGCCCTAAGGCAGGATTAGAACTCCTGGTTTATAGGCAACACCTTTCACAATATGCCAAACTAGTTTTATATTGATTAAATACATAGATTTTAATCCTATTAATTTTATCTATTCACTGTTATTTAATTTTAATCAAACCAATACAGTCAAATTTGTACTAGCCCCACCCCCTCAAAGACCATTTGCATCTCTTGTTCTGAGACGTTTGCATTTGTTGTGTCTTAATTGATTTGGATGAGAGATCTTTGGAATTTGTTCATGAGACACATTTTGTTTATCTCTGCCATCCTCTCTGCAGGTTTTGCCAACAGTTTCCCAGAGCAAGAGCAGGCAAAGGCAAAACAGGGAGAGATTCCCAGGCATCAATAAATATTATTCTTCTGCTGGCCTGCCACCTTTTGAAAAATATATTTTTATTGATGGAATTTAATGTGCATTGTTCAAATAGTTTCAGAGACAGCATTTGGGAAATGCATATAAACTGCCTTCAGTAAAGGAATATTTTCTAAAAGCTTCTCCAAAGTTTCAGTCATGGGGAAAAGAGCCGGATTATGTGAATGAGGCAACAGGAACATCTATTAAATCCAATAATAACTATCTTTGATAGCCACTAGGTGGCAGACCTCCAACAGAGGTAAACGGTACACTTGTAAAACGAATGTTATGTGTAGGCAGTATTGCAATCATCATTATCCAGAGTTTTATTAAGGTTTTTGAGTAGCATAGGAGAAACTTCCTGACAGTTAGGACAATCAATCAGTGGAACAGCCTGCCTCCAGAAGTGGTGAATGCTCCAACATTGCTATAATTGGGTATGTCTAGTTTAACGAAGAGAAGGACAAGGGGGGACATGATAGCAGTATTCCAATATCTCAGGGGCTGCCATAAAGAAGAGGGAATTAAGCTATTTTCCAAAGTGCCTGAAGCAGGACAAGAAGCAACGGGTGGAAACTAATCAAGGAGAGAATTAACCTAGAACTAAGGAGAAACTTCCTGACAGTGAGAACAATCAATCAGTGGAACAGCCTGCCTCCAGAAGCAGTAAATGTTCCAACACTGGAAGTTTTTAAGAAGAGACTGGACAGCCATTTGTCCGAATGGTGTAGGGTTTCCTGCCTGAGCAGGGGGTTGGACTAGATGACCTCCAAGGTCTCTTCCAACTTTACTGCTATTACTATTACTAACATTGGAAGTTTTTAAGAAGAAACTGGCAGCCATTTGTCCGAAATGGTATAGGGTTTCCTGCCTGAGCAGGGGGTTGGACTAGATGGCCTCTAAGGTCCCTTCCAACTTTATTATTATTATTATTATTATTATTATTATTATTATTAAAGGGTGAGGATTAATTTTGTTATTAATTAATTAGATCTAGCATTAAGATATAGTTAAATGTTTATAGGTTCTTGTCTGTTTGATTAGGATAGAATATCTTTCAGATTATATAATTTATATGGGAGCAACAGCATATGTAGGGAGGGTTACAGATGTTAAAATAGTCACAACAAAGCAATCATGTGACATAACACAGGTAGTCTACAACGTAAACTATTCATTTAATGACCATTCAAACTTACAACAGCACTGAAAAAAAAGTGATTTATGACCAATTTTCATACTTAAGATTTTAGTTACATGATAAAAATTCAAGCGCCTGGCAACTGGCATGTATTTATGACAGTTGCCCTGTTCCAGGGTCATGTTTGTAACTTTCCCAACCAGCTTCTGACAAACAAAGTCAGTGGAGGAAGTCAGATTCACTAAACGACTGCATGATTCACTTAAACAGTATAGTGATTCATTTAACAATTGGCAAAAAAAAATTCATAAAATGGGGAACAACTCAATTAACAAGTACCTTGCTTAGCAATGAAATTTGGGACTTAATTGCGGTCATAAGTTGAGGACTGCCTGTACAGAAAACAGTCTAGCCTTGGTCATGTTGCTGCAATTGCCGTCTTAGTTTTTTGTATTTCCCCCACCACACCACCCCCACACACATTCAGAAAGTGTTGTGGAGGTAGTCCTCAACTTGTAATGGGAGCCTGCCCGTTACAATTATAAGTTGTGGCAAGCATGAAGTAGGTCACACACAAGAACATGTCAGGGACAAACATGTTGTACATAAGGAATTTTAACTATGGCAGCATTGGCAATGAATAAGCCATCTTATTTTCAGTCCCAAGTTGCAGTCTTCTTGCAACTTTCCATCTCCTTCTTATTTGATGATCCTCTGCCACCTTGCTACGCCCTTCCTGTTTTTGTGTTCCAGATGGAAATGCGTCTCCAGGATCAGCAACTGGCTCGACAGCTCATGCGCCTGCGCAGTGATATCAACAAACTCAAGATCGAGCAGACCTGCCACCTCCACCGGCGGATGCTGAATGATGCCACCTATGAGCTGGAAGAGAGAGACGAGCTCTCTGATCTCCTCTGCGATTGCCCCCTCACGTCCTCCTTCAGCCTCTCCACCCCACTCAAGCTCATTGGTGTGACAAAAATGAACATCAATTCCCGTCGCTTCTCACTTTGTTAAAATGGGAGGAACGGGCACAGGAAGTACATGGGATGGGAGATATCTTCAAAACCTAGGAGAAGAAGCTCCCATTGTCTGGATGGGAGATAGGCACAACAAGGAAGAAGAGAGAGTAAAGGGGCTCTTCCTTTGATCTAATAGGAGTGGGCTGTGGTGCCAGTCAAGATAGTGTCTAGAAGAATTTGCAGACAGGTGTAGAATAAGAACAATGAGGCTTCCCAGGACAGGAACTAGACCACATCAAAATCTAACTCATACAGGCAGAAGCATCCCCTCTATTCAGTGATTAGAACAAACTTATCCCAAATCATGTGTTGACCTGGAGGCTCCCTAACTGAGAACAGTACAGGAGAAATATAGCTGAAAACCATTAGTGAAGCCTTTGGGGCCCATTCAAATTGAATAATAAGAGAGATGAAGAATTCATGTTGCTACAAGGAAGAAAGACCACTCCATGGTGGAGGGGAGTTAGCCAGAAAGTATTATGTATTATCTATAAAAGCATTTCAGTTTAGTTTCTATCAGTGTGATGCAGGTAATATGTAGATACATATTATGGAGATTCTCAGCCATCCAGGTCATTGTTGTCCCAAAGGTGCTGTTCGAAAGGCAACTGGACTTTCTTGTTTTTTTCCTTGAAAATGTTTTGCTTCTCATCCAAGAAGTGTCTTCAGAACTCCAGAACTGAAGAAGCTTCTTGGATGAGAAGCAATACATTTTTAAGGAGAAAAAAACCCAAGAAAGTCCAGTTGCCTTTTGTAGATACAGTTGTTGGTTTGCTTCTATGACCAACTAAGATCTTCTTGTTATGAGCTATGGTTTCTAGATTGTGCTAATCTGGCACAATTCTGTACTGCAGTTTAGGGGGCTGGTGTCCCATGATACTGTTTCTCAGACCACCTTCAGATTTCAGGAATTGGCAATGGGATTTTTCTGGTGTTCAGTCTAGACTGGCTATTGCAAGATCTGATCAGCTGTTTCTCTGTTGTTGGTGTTTTTGCTCTTCTCAAATCTTATGGTCTAATCAGTTAGGTAAAAATTAGGCATTAGTAGACATCACCCTCCTAGAATCTGATGAAGCCAAGCTACTGACTTTTAAGCATGTCAGTTAAAAATATCTATAAATACAAGTTTAAGTGTATACATAAGGATATTCCAGAAAGAGTGAGATCAGAGTAAGCAAAAATGAAATATATTTTGCACAGTTTATTTCCATGACTTAGTACATTTCCTCAGGATATGAGGTGAAAAACAATAGTTCTCCTACCTTGAGAAATGGAACCATCTTTTCCAGGATTCAGACATAAGTCTGCAGGTATTAGGACAAATGGGAGGAATCACATTTGAGCCCTCTTTGTCTGCTTCTGAGAAGTAGCTGATGGGCCACTGTGGGAAGCCAAAAGTAGACTGCATAGCATTTTGATCTGATGTAGCAGTTATTTCATCTTATAAATGCATATCCTGCCCTTCTCTACTAGTTGTACCAAACAGGCTAAGTTGCTTCAGTTTTTCAGTCATTTTTGATTCTTTGTGATCTGAAGGACATAATACTGCCAGGACTAACTGAAATGGTAAAAATAAAAGGACAGCAAGAATAAAACTACAGAATAAAATGTCAGTTAAAGTAACAGGAAAAAAGACATAGTTGGAAGAGGATTTTCAAAGCCAGAAGGAATGCAAAAGTTCTTCAGCTACCACCAAAAATGTATAAGATAACAATAATTTATACAAGATGGTTGTGCATCGCTCTCCAGACTGGTGCTCTTTATATGTGTTGAATGTATCTCCCATTATTACAGTTAACATGGCCAAATTAGAGAGCTCCAAGTTTGATTTTCTTTGTTCATGAAACATAAAGAAAAACTGTGGTGGCACAGTGGTTACAATGTAGTACTGCAGGCTAATTTTGCTGAATGCCAACAGTTCGATTTCCACTGGCTTAAGGTTGACTCAGCCTTCCATCCTTTTGAGGTCAATGAAGACCCAGATGGTTGGGGACAATATGATGATTCTGCAAACTGCTTAGAGAGGCCTGTGAAGCACTATGAAGTGGTTATATAAGTTCTATTGCTATTAATATAAGTTAGCCATCTCTCAGTTCTCAAAAGGTCATACTGTCTTATGCCAATGTATTGATTTGTTCCCATTCTACTCCTCATGTAATTACAAAAAAAGCTTGACACAAAGTACAAAGAGTGGCATTTAAGCCACTTTTCCAGATAGAGAATGTCAGAATCAGGGGATGCTACAAAGATCTCTTCCCAGGTTTTCTGTTTTATATCATGGGCCACTAGGCTGTCTTCTTATTAAGGTTGAAATACATAATTGGACTCCGACTAGGCTCAGATACATTCCGGTTCTTGTCCTATTTAGAAAGCTATACCTCAAAATCTTATATAAGCAGCCACTTTAAAAAATCCAAGAGTTTGTACATGACTTTGTAGGCCAGCTTCTGAATGGTTGCCTGCAGGCACCGCCTCACTGTGAATCCATGTTTAAAGCAGGAAAACAGCATCTGTTTATCAAAAAATAAGGGTGATTCTCTTGGAGCTGGACTGAAAGAGGAAGTTCATTCTGCTTATTCACTTAGTTCCTAACACATCTGCACTCACAACAACTTTTCAGCTTAAGCAGAAAATGTGCAGGAATAGGAAACTCAGATCTTTTCATTCCTTCCTGAAGAAGTCAGCTATCCAGGCATGCACATTTAATATTATGCATACTAATATTTGCATGTGCTGCCTCCCATAGCCCATATCCATTTCCTCTTGAAACCTTCAGAGGTTGTTCTATCCCTGACATATAAGAAGAATATTCTATCCATTGGCATATTGATGGGATCCACTTTGTTTTAATGATACTATCCTTTTCTATTCAAATAAATGATTTAATTCTTTTGGTATTCATTGGAGGTGTTTCTTTTTTGTTTTTGGAGGGGGTTGGAAGCAAAGGAAAAAAAACAAGTGGAACATTCAATAAAGTGATGAAACATATTTAATCTTCCTTTCTGCAAATTCAACATGCCAAGATGTCCTAATAGTGTGTCTGACGGTTGTAATAAGAAAAAACTTTTGTAGATGTTGTTAAGACATGGTCCAACCAGTAAACAGAAGTAGTTTAGAACTGCATGGCAAAAAGTTTCAGTAAAGGTACAGAGTTTGTCTACATAGGACTAATTATATTAGGATCCTGTCCAGGAGACCCAGTATATCCAAATCCTCATCCTCATCATCTTAATCTAATCAAATCAGTTTCACAAAGTTGAAAACATTTCTGGCCTTTCTCTGGTTCTGTAAATATCAGGGTTCCATAAGTAGAATTGTAGCAGTGCACCTTTGATAGGACTATCAGATCCAGGCTGCAGAATTCTGTTTCTTTGCTGTATTCTCATGACCATCCCAATTACTGCAGTTTATGGAAGCACTGGCTGGGCATCATACAGGCAGGTACCTTTGCCCAATGACAGGTGTAGGAATCAGTGCTCAGTCATTGCAGGGTGCAAATATGGCTGACTGCTTTTGCAGTGTTTATTGCCTTATATACCAGTATACAAACAGCATAAAGTAAGATGGCATCAGCATAGCAACAGCAGTTCTATTGGTGAAACCCCTTGCCAATCCTTAAGAATATACTAGCCAGGAGGCCCCAGCCAGGGAGCAGTTTCTACCACATCCTGTTGATGTAACCAGGCTGATATCATGTGAACCAGGTGATATCATATACCAGCCTGGGGTATTTCCCTACATTGCCATGGTGATGTGAATGGATGAGATCATGTAGAGAGAAGAGGCATGCAGGCGTTGGAAGGGCAGTTTGCTGCTCACAACCTCTACCTGGCCCCCATCTCTACAGACAGGTACCTGGTCTCTTATACAACCAATTTATTGCCCTGAAAGGCAGTTCCTTCTGACAGGAGCGACATCATTTGCCTGCAGCAGCCTAAAATGGCCACTAGGAGGTGAATAGAACCCATCTCTGGTCACATCAGCTGTCATTTCTAAGAACTCTGTTAGCAAACATCCACAGCCAAAATTGTGTCAGGAGAAGAAGGAAGACATTATTTTAAAACTGGAACAGCTACGGAAGACATTACGTTGCCTCAGCAGTGTGCTAGCAGTGAGACAGAGACAATATCACAAGGACATGTTATTAAAAAGCTGTTACCAGGACAAGCTTATGCTATAGTTAGAGGGATATGAGAAAGAAGGTTAAAGAACATGTTCTGGCAAGAGACAATTTATTATTTTACTTAAAAAGGAAAACACAAATGCAAGAGTCCAAAACTGGATGGGGACTTCAATATACAGGCAATAAAGTCTTTAAATCATCACCCAGTTATTTAAATTCCTTAAATCCAGTTATTTAAATCCCAGTTATTTCAATCTGCTATTACACCAAAGGAAAATAAGTCAAATGGGTATAAATAATCCTAACTTATTCTCCAAGATAAAAGGGTAAGTGGCAATGGTGTATTTGGTGTCTGCCAGAATGAGATTTTCTTCATTTGCTCCTTTTTTGATTTGCAATTGCATTAGATCAGCAAAACATTGCTGTAGCCTGGATGGGCTTCCCATATTTGACAAATAATTCTGTAGATTTCTGTTTAGTAAGGTGACCAACCGTCCTCCTTTTGGGAGGACAGTCCTCCTTTTTTGAGTTCTGTCCTCCCTCAAAAAGTGTCCTCCTAAATGTCCTCCTTTTCCATATACCGTCCTCCTTTTGGGAGAACAGTCCTCCTTTTGTGAGTTCTGTCCTCCCTCGAAAATGTCCTCCTAAATGTCCTCTTTTTCTATATTTGAAGACTTATCTGCAGGGCTTTCTTTTCCTCATAGAATGCTCAGAAGGCGTTCCGGGACCTTTTTTTGATGGTTTTTTTTCAACTTTTGCCTGAGCTGTGCTACTCCCCCATTGGCTTTCAAAAGCCAATAGGAATTGCTGCTGAGTGCGCCAAAACACCCGGGCGGCAAACTTTGCACGTGCAAGTTGCAGGAACTTTGCACCCCTCACTGCTACCCAACTACACCATCTCCTACTTAGTTCTGCAGATAGCTGGAGGAGACTGGAGCGGTAAGTTTCTCTTGATCTTCCCTGTTGGTTCTACACAGGGATGCACAGAGTAGGCGATGGTGCTGGGGGGTGGCTGGGGGGTGGCTGCAGGGCTGGAGCCAGCACGGCTGGTGCTTTGCGAGCTGCGGGGCCGGCTCTACAGGGATGCACAGGGTGGGCAGTAGTACTGGGGGGCAGCTGGGGGGGCAGCTGCAGGGCCGGAGCCAAGGGAGCTGGTGCTTTGCCTTTGCAAGCCGTGGGGCTGGCTCTACAGGAATGCGCAGGGTGGGCGGTGGTGCTGGGGGACAGTTGGGGGGCAGCTGCAGGGCCGGAGCCAGCACAGCTGGTGCTTTGTCTTTGCAAGCTGCGTGGCCAGCTCTACAGGGATGTGCAGGGTGGGCGATGGTGCTGGGGGGCAGCTGGGGGGGTGGCTGCAGGGCCGGAGCCGGCACGGCTGGTGCTTTGCCTTTGCGAGCTGTGGGGCCAGCTCTACGGGGATGCGCAGGGTGGGCGGTGGTGCTGGGGGGCGGCTGCAGAGCCAGAGCTGGCTTGGCTGGTGCTTTGCGAGCCGCGGGGCCGGCTCTCCATGGCAGGGCAGTGGTGCTGGCGAGGCGGCTATGAGTGGGGGCGTGGCAGGTAGTTGACCTTCCATGGGCTGTGCCAGCTGATGGTCTACGCAGTGCTGACCTGTGCTGCCACCACCTCACCCTGCTCACCTACATGGCCGTCCTGAAGCACCTGGCTCACAACACCTGCCTCTGCTGCCCACCCCCACGCAATCCAGCCGTGTAGATTTTTGGACAAGTGAGAAATCGAGATTGAATGTTGATACTCTAGCTGCAGCACTTGCCGTAAAATTCAATATGAAGGATATTTCTTGTTCAGATATTTCCAATATATTGTTAGAAGATGATACATTGACAAAAAATATTCATTCAATGGAAAAGTACTCATTTAAATAATTAATAGGCATGTAAGCATAATTACAATATAAAATGTTATTGTTACAAATGTTTTTTATTATGCATTTATCATATTATAGTGTATTCTGTATTATTGTTGCAATAAATACAATGTTTCTTTTATTTACGATATTTTTTTCTTCAATTTATTCGTGTCCTCCTTTTTGTTGTAAAAAAGTTGGTCACCTTATGTTTAGACTTATGTTGAAGTCCCAGAACTTGCTTCTAGGACAGTGAAAGGTATTTTCATTGTAATAATTGCTATGTTTCAGAGAGAGAGAGAGAGAGAGAGAGAGAGAGAGAGAGAGAGAGAGAGAGAGAGAGAGAGAGAGAGAGAGAGAGAGAGAGAGAGAGAGAGAGAGAAATTTCTAGCTTATCTTTCGCTGCATTGGGAAACTGGGCAAAACCTGCAAGACTTTAGAATACAAATGGGAATTGTCATTAATTTTAGCATATAAAAGGTAAGCAGGTCAGGGAGGAGGATAAATGAATGCTCTTTCAGATTAAATGCACCTCTGAGAAGGAATGAAGTTGAACCTCCTGCTAATCACATGATACTGTAATGCAGTCCTTACCACACCATTTCCCTGCACTTCCCAATAGCATTCACAATTGATCTTCAACAAGATGGCTCCAAGTAGAATTCTCAGCATGATTGCCCTGAGGTAGCACAGATGGAACATTTTTACATGCAGACTGAAGGTATTTTTTTTAGATGACTCTAGGAACCAACCCATTTGGTGAATCTGATCTCTAACTGCTAAGGAATGAGGGAAGTCAGAGCCCCAGAGAAGGAAATATTAAAAGGGCAGAAAAATATATTTCCTCAAAAGGATTTTTAAAAGCAGAAACCAACCCTGCCCCCAAGTCTCTGTCCCAAGTAGTAGCCAGTCCTATACAAATGCAAATGTAAAAACTTCAGGAAAGTTGGAGCCAGGAGATCAAAAAGACAAAGACCTAAAATCTGCATACCCCACCCAAACTCTAGGAGCCATTAGCCCCATCACCAGGGAAGCAGGATATGATAATAGGACTAACCCATCACCATAAAGAATACCAGAGAGGCACACCTGGACTCAGGTCAGAATACGTGACACAGGAAATAGCCTCAAAGTTCATGCCACAGGAACAGGAAACTATTCCAAACAAAAGGCTTTCAGAGGGTATAAAAACCTACTCCACATGTACTCAGCCCTTTATTTCTTTCCTCCTTCCTACCAGAACCATCTTTCAGTCTGGCTTTTCAATAAACTGCAACCTTCTTCCCAAAGCAGTTGCCATGTTGTTTATTTATCCCCAGCTTGGATGAACCAGGATGAAGACTTTACTTCCCACAGGAATGAAGAATAAATACAGTAACTCTGATTTCCAAGCCTTTGATCTTCTCAGTAGAAAATCAAGGGTTTGTACTGCGGATCAGTATCCATTTGATATTAAGTTTGTTCAGAAGCCAGAAAGGTGTGCTTCAAGTACTAAACCAAACTTTTCATTCGTGTCTCTGCAGTAACGAAACTGGACCAATTACTTGGAAAGAAACAAAGTAGATAGAGAGATTTTCTAATTTAGAGATGATTAGAAAGAGCAATATTGTGAGAAATAAAAATTTCGACTCCAAGGGTGTTGGAAAACAAAACATGTTTTATTAAAGCTTTTGCAAAAGCTGGTGTACCCTTATATTTGCAAATAAAGGGCCACACTGAATGAATTTCTGCATAGGTTTTTATACTCTGTCCAATGCATCATGCCACATCCTTCCAACTGAAACCCAGTTGATAGGTTTCAATTGATCATGTGCTTTTCCGATGCCTAGCAACCATTACAATTACCAAACCTTCCAATGATTACATCAAAAGCCCCTTTGTTCTTGTCTTATCTTCCCTTCCTTGTCTGTGGC